GACTTGACGAAATATATTTGTGACCTAAGAAATATGATCTGGAACATGAAAAAAAATGTGCAAGTTTAATATTCCGAAACCAGTAATGCTGCATCAGTGGTCACTTACGTCCGGATTGGAGAAACATTCAGGCCCCTTGAGCTTCGCAGTCGAAGGGTGATCATCAGCCACCCAGTTCATTATCCGAGGGTACACTCTGGAAATCCTTCTCGCTATGTATCCATCGAGACTGGGAATTGTCTCATAAATCCACACTTGAAAGGCTACGAGCAAGCCTCTGAGTCTGTAATGTGTTGATCTCTTACTCAACCCCTCCCTCAATGAATTTACTAGTGTGTCAAACAGCGACTTACCCCATGGAAACACATTCATCGCACTAAAATCTTCAACTAGTACAAATAAGAAGTGATCCATAGCCTTCTTGTAGTCCCTTGGATGTAGATAAGACGTTTTGAAATACAATGCACCTAGCATAGAAACATCCTCATCTGAAATGTCAGTAGAACCAAGAAATGCGTCCTTGATGTTTTCATGAGTAACATATTTCAACATTGAAAAATACAAATTTTTCAATTGTGATGGAGTCTTCTCTATCCTATTTATGTCAGCATCGTCGATGTATCTCAGACCAGTCACCAAACAAAACTATGAAATTGAGAACCTTACGAATCTTCCAGCTATGTTGAACCACAACTCACTCTCATTAGATTGTTGCACTTGTCTCAGCAGAAAGTAGTGTATCAGTTGAGATTGGATAACAATTTCCTCGCATTACAGGAAGTGGAAGAAACACGTATTCTAAAGGATTCGACGTTGGGCTTCATTGAGATTGTTTTTGAAGTTCGACACCACACCTTTGACGGTGATAATTGTAATTTTATCCGAAAACCAACTCTTCTAGGGTATAATGTATCTCCAGGCCTGCAACATCGGTCACAATAAAACTCACCAGTTTGGTCACAGGTGGGAATCCAGGTAGACACAACATTAACATATAGGTCACAGGTCCCCTCCACCAAAAAAGAAATCAACAACACACATACAAAACAACGCAATAGCGTTTCATAATTCACAAATGAACAACCATTTTTGAAAAAAAAAAATTAAAAACCCTTTCTACAATCCGACATTTTGATTACAAATCCACACAACAAATTCAGTGCAATATACATCACAAATTCAAAATACTTCATCCATACACATTACCCATCCATTAAAATGAACATAGGTATGCTCGAAATAAGTGAACAATTGAAAAATATCAAAAACACCTTCTTCGTGGACTGTTTTGCGACCGAACTTTCGGATTTGTGTCTTTTAGAGGATGAATCCTTCTGCACTTCATCCACCTTCCTTTTACCTCTTCCTCCTGACTCGTGTATTCCAATTTTCTCCCCACATTTTTCACTCCTTGAATGAGTCATCCTTGAAATTTTAGAAGACTGCGGTTCAACTGTGACCACTTCTTTTTGGGAAGGAATGTATAAAATATGTGACAAATAGTGGAAGAAGGTCGTCGGGGAATCGCCGGATAACGAATAGGGATGAACGTCTGAATATGGCTTGGATGAACAGCGATTTAATCGTAAAATATGGATACGTGAGGGACGTGAGTTTTATAGAAAGGATGTGTAGAGAGGTTTTAATGAATATAGAGTTTCCAAAATTTGAAATACGTGACTTTAGGGAAGACAGTTATTAAATAATTTTAAAATAATTAATAAATGAAAAAAATATGATTAGTGAAATATTAAACTTCCACTCTGATTTGGGAACTATGAATAGATAAACTATGGTTTTATGTAATTTCCACATCTTAAAACCATCCGCAGCCAATTCCCATTACACATAAAACCCAAATGTCCTAATCCTTCATTTTGCATCAATTATAGTTCTCTCAACGTGTTCGATTGTCTGTCTCTCTCCAAATTCTCTATGCAAGTGCACAATGCCTCCTCCAATCGCGCACCTCTTTCTTCTTCTTCTTCAATTTTATTTTGTAATTTCATTACCATTAATCTATCTTTTTTATAGACTTTTGAATTGAGGGTCCACAGGAATATAAAATTGCGATGTTGATTTGAAAAATTGGAATGAGTAATGGATTATTATAAATTATTTTCAATGTGGACTACTTATTATTTCAAATGAAACTCTCTATAATTTAGAAAATATATTTATAACTTTTGATTAAGAATAAAACATGGTACTTAAAAGTTTGGAATGCCTGCTAATGTCTATGCTGTATAGATATGTCCTTAATTGAATGGCAGGTGGTGTGGAAAAGAAATAATTTATTAGTGGAAAGCAAAAGGAGTAGAAGAAAATTATGGGCTATAATAATTTGGGCATAATTTTTTGAAAAAAATTGGAAAGTGAAATTGAAGAAAATGTGAAGAATATCTTTTTGTTGGTCTGGGAAAAAAGTAAGACACCACTATAGTGAATGCAATACCTTTTTGTTTTACAAGAGATGAATGTTTAAGACAATTGTTTACATTCTTATTATTCGTTCCTTGACATCAACATTAGTTAGAAATAAATTCAATGAATAATGCAGAGAGAGCAAATGTAAATTCTATTATAGACGAATTTTATGCTTTAAAAACCTCGTTAGAAACAAATTCAAAAAATAATGCCGTTTAATGAGTTTTAATATTATATATAAACTTTTTGTAGACTTTTTTAAATTCGAGCCCTACCAACAAAAAAAATTTTTGAATTCGCCCCTGTAGTCACATTGGACCAATTTCATCTAAAAGTTTCCCTAACTAACAGAAGAATTTTGATAAAATTAGCCAAACGAGTTAAAAAGAACTTTGAATTTCAAAAACTTATTCTGAATTTTTAATAGTCATATCAAACGGGTCCTAAATCATACCAAAAACTATTTGAATAGACATGAAAGTTAATATTTTCTATATTATACTACACAGTTATGTCAAACATATTCAAAGAAGTTGCTTGACAAAATGGATTATATTCTACTGAATAACATTAATAAAAGTATTTTGAGGGTGTATACAATTGGAATTTTCGAAGGCTTTTATAAACTTTTTTAAAGTGATAACTTTGTGGATTTCGTAAACTTTTATAAATTTGTATGGAATTAGAGAAATTTCTATAACCTTCCATTTTAAAACTTTGATAGACATTTGTAGAATTTGTACGATTTTTGAAAAACTTCATTTAAAATGGAAATCACTTCAATTCCCATACAAAAGGTCGAGGATTGACCTCCATCTCATTCACTCATTTCACAAATAAATAATATATGTGTGTGTGTGTGTGTAAGAAAAAAATTAAGTCGCCTTAATTAAACTAACAAATAATTAAAATATAAAAAAATGTGTATATAATATTTCAAGTAAATATTTAAAATTTAATGACAAATCAATCTCTCTCTTTTTAATATAAAAAAAATTATTACAATATTAATCTTCTACATAAAAAATTGGACGAAAAAATATGTTACCAGAAATAATAAAAAAGAGAATGAAGAGAAATAATAAAAAAGATAGAAAAAGAAAAAGAGAACAAATACAATTGGTAGAAGAAAAAATAATAAACTTTTAATCATAATATTCTTTTGTCAAAGTCTCCCAAAATATTGGGATAAATGAGAGACTTTATTTCTAAATTTTATTTTTGTACTTTCAAGTTTAAAATTAGTATTCTGAAAACTGTTATAAAAGTCTTTAAAAGTCATTAAATATCAAAACTTTTAGAGGCTTTTAAAAAGTTTTAATTGAATACACTTTAAAAGTTAATAAAAGTTTCTATTAAATACATTAAAGATCTGTTTGATTGTAAATGTGAAATTTGGGTGGAAAGAAAATGAATTACAGGAAATTTAATTGTTTAGAAATTGTTTTCTTGAGAATTGTAAATTATTGTGTTTGATTGGTATACTTTTCCACGTGAAAAATATTGAAATAAAAATGTTTTGTGTTCGCTTAACTTTATTTTACATGAAAATTGTTAGTTAAAGGGCTAGAATTTACTGGTATTGGGAATGAAATTTGTTTCCATTGCTAAAAAAAAAATATATTCAAGAAAATAATTTATCTTTTGATGTTCGTTTGACTTTGTTTTATATGAAAATTGTCCACTAAAAATGAAAGAATTTGTTACAATTGTTAATAAAATTTGTTTCCATTGCTCAAAAAAAAAATTTAAAATTTAAAATTTTTTTTAAAAAAAAGTCAACCTGAAAAATGAAAAACTATCTAATACATGAGAAAATGAATTCCTCCATTTCGTGGAAAAGGTGCACGTGTGGCTGAAAGTTGGAATTTCAATTATCTAAAAAATTGATGCCATCAAACCTGTAAAAACTTGGAAAAGGAAAAAAATTTTCCATTTTCCAAGGAAAAGTTGTCATATTTTGGCCTAAGACTTTTAGAAAGTGTTAAAAAAATTACATTGAATATCTTTAAAAAATTTTAAATCTTTAAAAGTATTTAAAAGTCTCAATTAAATACATCTCTTTAGTTCCACTGACTAGAAAGCGATCAAATGCTCCACCAAGAATCTCCAATCAGAAAGAGAACTTGAAATCTTCAAATGCCTACGGGAAGTCCTCGCCGGGGCCAATTCTCGACGAGAACTTTTGGTATAGATAGTTTGGCTACTTGAATTTAGATGAATATAAACCGAAGGAGAAGAATCAATCCCCTTTAATGCCCATGACATGGAATTTACATTTAGGATACGCTGCCAATCCCCGGTGAAGATATCTAAGTAATTAGAAGGTGAACCTAATTCGACTATATAAAGGTCCAAAAATAGGTAATAAAGACGCTTGAATTCATACTTGATTTTCAATTCGTAACTCTCATAGAACTTTTCTATTTGACTCAAGTATCGAAATGCTACTTGAGTACATTCGCCATTCCATTTTTGTAGGAATTCGAGAGATTGAGGAACGAGTAAGACTCAACGAGTTTCAACATCAACAATCACATTGAAATTTTCAAATTAGCAGAAGCACCAAAAGTTTATTTCATTCTTTAAGGTCACATCTCATAACGGCTTCCAATTTTAACAAATTTGGATTAAAAGAAGAAAAGTTTGGTAACTTACAATTAATCCAAACAAACTAATTCACACCAAAATCAAATCTATACATGTAGTATGTACACGTGCCTATATATAAAAATACTGGTTTCATCATCTTCTGCTAAAAGGGACTCTGAGAATGGGAAATCAAAGCATCCTTCTAAACCTTCTATTTGCTCTCTTGATTCTGTTTGCAGACTCAACAGGTACTTTAAGATCCATTTTTCCATTTAAACTTTTTGCTCGTTCGATAAGGTGGACAATATAGTAGTGTTAAGTGAAATGTTCTGTATCAAATATGTCGTACTCTTTGTATTGATCAACTTGATTTTGTCTAGCAGTGGCTGCACCAGTCGGAGTTTGCTATGGCCGTGTCGCCAGCAACCTACCACCACCCTCCGAGGTCGTCAATCTCATCAAATCAAACGGCATTTCAAGAATTCGTCTATTCAACCCTGACCCTGATGCCCTAAAACCATTCTCCGGCACTGGAATCGAGCTCATGATCGGTGTCCCCAATGAAATCCTCCCTACTCTAGCCAATGGCACAGTGCCCACTTCTCTTGAATGGCTTCAAACAAACATTTTCTCGAACATCTTGCCTACACAAATTCGATATCTTGCAGTTGGCAATGAAGTACTCCTGAAAGATCCATTCTACTCTCCTTATGTTGTCCCTGCAATCCTTAATCTATACGAAGCTCTTCAAACGTTAGGATTATCAGAAACAATCAAACTTTCATCTTCTCACGCCGCTTCAATATTATCTAGTTCATACCCTCCATCATCCGGTGCTTTTGACCCGAATATCCAACCCGTTTTACTTCCTCTTTTGCAGTTTTTACAAACCTCCGGATCGCCATTAATGGTGAATGTGTACCCATTCTTCAGTTACATAAACAACCCGCAATATATATCCCTTGATTATGCACTCTTTAGATCCTCCACTCCCGATATTGACCAGAATCTTGCATATACCAACATGTTTGACGCAACGGTGGATGCATTTGTGTACGCTATGGAGAAGGTGGGTTTTCCGGGCATTCCTGTGGTCGTGACGGAGACAGGGTGGCCGGCGGCCGGCGGCTTTGCCGCGAGTCCAGAGAATGCGTTGGATTATAACGCGAATATAGTGAAACGAACTGTGAATAACTTTGGGACGCCAAAAAGACCTGGGGCTGGTATTGAAGTTTTTTTGTTTGATTTGTTTAATGAGAATGGGAAAAATGGGGAAGAATATGAAAGGCAATTTGGAATGTTTGGAGTTGATGGTACTAAGGCCTATGACCTTAAATTCTAATAAATTTTTTTTTATTTTATTTTAAGGAATTTAAAATCCTGGCATAGTGAATTTGTCATGTGAGTCCCTATCGGAAACATTATTCGTTTGTTGAACATCAATTTTTCTGCCATTCCATTTAATACAGAAGAAATAAGTTAATTATATATTTACAATTTCTAATGAGTTCGATCATGCACTCTATGTTCTATTTAGCTCATTTAGTAAGAGATTTGGAGCCTGTTTGGAAGTGATTTTGAGAATTGATTTTTTGACTGGTAGGAGAAAAGTGGAGTCCACATGTGAGAGAAGACGTCAAATATGACAGTTGGAATAATGAAATAACGGTTAAGAAAATTAATTTTTTGGGACAAAAAATCGCTCCCAAACAAGCTGTTGATATAATCAAGAGTTTCATCCTTTAATCTATCATGGACATGTGGTTGTCGTGACATATATAAATATAACTACAATGGAATCTTGTAATTCTGCTTATCGAACGAATATACAATTGTTTCAATAACGAGATCTAACCCCAATCAAGTTTTACATATACTGGCACATGATTTCAATACTTTCGAAGAGCATGGAAAATTAAAATCAAATAGGCAAGTTTTATGTTTCCGAAAGTGTTTTTCTGATTTTCGAAAACAGGCAAATAACGCGCATTCATAAAAGAAAAAGAAACGTAGTTAATTTTTAACAAAAGGTCAAAATTGAAAACAAGTGCGATCTTGATTAGACGATATATCTTCATATCTTGCTTTATAATAATAGGATGTAATTAAGAGAGAGCGAAGTTCTTCGTTTGTATTTTTTACTAAAGAAATAATATATCGTGAAGAAGGTCATAGAATTTTAAGTTAACGGAAATGAGGTTACTCATACATTTGGTATTTCTTATACCGAACGGGGAGAATAAAGGAATAAACAACACAAACACTAAAAAGACTACGGATAATTTAATAAATAATCAAGGAGTTGTTTCATTTAATATTTGTACCCCGCCCATCCTGTTGGGCGCGCGGAAACTCCAATAACACATGTTGATTCCAAACTAGATTTTAAGGAACGAGATTATATGACAATATTGAAGTATACTAGATCACACACCAAAAACAAGGTTTAAAAGTAAAGAAAACACAAAGGGATTAACACAAAGAACGATGTTTATTAAACTGAACAATATGAAGAATACAAGACATACTAGCAATATTGCTTCTATGTTATTCTCTATAAACCGACTGGAGGAGTCTTGTATTTATAGGCCAACCCTAGAAGAATCCTAAAAGATAATAAAATATATTACAATTAAGAGTCTCAATTTCAACAAGATTTTGTTTTCTTATTCAACTTAGTTTCCTTAAACCCTAGGTTAATATTCTCATAGTCCAAGTCGAATACGCATGTTCAAAAGACTTCTATTTGAATCATACTCCTAACAATCTCCACCTCGACTCAAATTCCAGTGCAACGAACAAAACTCCTAGATTTCAAATCCGTTTGCAATTAAATGAATTGGCCTAATCTCCTCAACACAGTAACCATTCCATATAAACCAAACACTCGTCCTCTGCCTGACATCCACAATCGATACCCTAACCCAATCCCCAGAGTTTCTAATTCCACCAAGGAATTAATGTTGATCACACAGGGCCGAAGCAAACCCTGTAATAAGAACCAAATCAGATGCTTGATTAGAAGGCCCTTGCTGGAACTGTCGCCTTCAACGTCCCTAGAAGCATTCCAGACATTGCTGACACCACGGTACCTATGCTCAATGAATCCTATCCCAGCAACTGAACACAGTGTATTTGCTGAAATTGGTGGCAAAGAGAAATCACTAACGCTCTTCCTAGTAGTGTTCTGAATCGACTCAGAGCTCAATACAAGAGGTACTTTACCAAACTGAACTTTCACCACTATACCAAACTGAACTTCCACCATGGTACTGTCCAAATGTCTCCTCTTAACTGGTTCTACACTCTCCTGCAAAATGTACAACTATGATCTTTTCCGTCCCTTCAGTACAACCCGAACTCCCTTTCGGACCTTCAAGACTCCACCCCCTCCAGAGAATTTATACCCTTTTGCATCCAGGGTACTTAGGAAATGAGATTTCTTTTCAAATCAGGAACATGTCGAACCTGATCAATTGTTCTAAATGTTTCATCCTGCAGCCTCAATCTAACTCGATCGATTCCAGCAATACGACAAGATTGGTTGTTTCCCACTACAACTCCACCTTGCTAAACAGTCTCATATGTCTGAAATAAATTCCTATCGGAACACATATGGTGTGAACATGTTGAATCAAGAATCCACTCCTCCTCAGGCTTAGACTCCACATCAGATATCACGGTCAATATCACATCTTCTCTATTTGAACAATTCTCAACTACACTAGTTTCGTCTAAATTCAAAGGTTACACCCCATGATTTGTAGCTAAATCACCTTTAGCCTGCAACATATCGCAATCCTTCTGAATATATCCTTTCATTTTCAATAGTAACAGGTCACATTGCTAAATCTAACCCTTGATCTGCCTCTTTGTTGAGCACCTTGAGATATAAGAGCTTCCCCATCCCTTGACGTAACTTCAAACAAATGTTTTATTTTCTCCTTTGAGTGCAATGTATCATAGACATCTTCTATAATCAAAGTATCTCGACTATACAAGATAGTATCCTGAAACAATGCATAAGATCCATGCAGTGAACACAGCAGGATCAATGCAAGATCCTCTTCATCGTACTTAACCTCCAACATCTTCAGATCTGCAACTATTTCCTTGAACACAGCAACGTGGTCTTCCAATGACTCTCATTTCGCCATGCGATGTGAATAAAGCTTTTGCTTCAGAGCCAGTTTACTTGTAAGACTTTTAGTCATACACAACTGCTCCAACTTCAACCACAAAGTAGTCACTGTTTTCTCCTTCAAGACATCCTGCAGAATATTATTGGACAGATGAAGATGAATCAATGAAACGGCCTTCCGATCCTTCCGTTGTTTCTCCTCCATTGTCTAACCAACTGGCATCCTCTCAATACCCAACAACACATAATCCAAATCCAACTGCGCCAAAATAGCTATCATCTTTACTTACCACAATGAAAATTTTGTATTTCGATCTAGCAGCGGAATTTCATACTTCAATGAGTTCATTCTTGAAAAATCTCAGCCAAATCACGAAGAACCTGCAACCCATGCTCTGATACCACTTGTTGGGCACGAAAACTCCAATAACACACGTTGATTCCAAACTGAATTTTACTCTCTATAAACTAACCAGAAGAGCCTCGTATTTATAAAAGAGTTCTAAAATGCAAGAAAATATATTACAATTAGGATACCCAATTTCAACAGGATTTTGTTTCCTTATTCAATTTAGTTTCCTTAAATTCTAGGCTAATATTCTCCTAGTTCAAGTCGAATATTCCTTTTAAAAATACTCATATTCGAGTCATACTTCTATCATGCCTGCCTACCCGCCCACCTACCCAACCAAACCCAAATCGCCACAAACTCAACCCCACAATTCGCCAGCGAATAATGCTACTTGTACATATAGATGTTATATTATAGTTTACATATATATGAAGTGTTTAAAATAGCAGTGAAGTTTTTCTTTATTTGATTGAAAAAATTCTGACAAAATCATATTTCACCTCATTATGTATACATAAATCATTATTTACATGTAACACAACATTTCACCATCCTGTTGTAACCACCACAATCCATTACCCATCATCACTTTTGAGTCCAAAATAAATATTTCATCTTTCCCAATCATCCCCATCCCCACCCCTACCAACCAAATATCATCTTCGAGACTTTAAATAGTAAAGATCATGGTTAATGGTGTTGCATTGAATGGGAGTGCTTTGAAAGAGAGTTTAAGCTCGTGTTTGGTTCCCATTTTCTAAAAGTTTCTTAAAATTCATTTTTAACCTCATATTTCATGAAATCCATAATTTTTATTTTTTATTTTTTGAAAAATTACTAAAAATATGGTTTTTAGATTAAAAAAAAAAAAAATGGAGCTAAGTCAAATGGGTAAATCTATAAACTCATATTGTGAGGAGGATCTTCGGAATGATAAGATTGAATGACTTTCAAGTTGATTATCACGATTAGATAGAGATTAATAGGAACTTAAAAAGGATTTTTAATATCTTGAAGGTCGTGGATGAAAAAAAAAAGTAATAATATTAACAAGATGGAAATCAAGGGCATAATAAAAATGATAGAGTTGTGGTTTCGCTACCTATGTTTTCAAGGAACGAAAGAATGTGGAAAATATGGAGTGTGGGTACAGAGGGCGAACTTCTAGTAATGTCTCAATAAGGGTAAAGGTAGTTTCAGCCATAGAACTATTGGTTTGAATGATAGAATTGAAAATGAAAGGATACTAATGGACAAGAATGTTAGATATTGTTGTGCGGAAAACTGGAACCGAATTAATTCAATACCAATTTGTAGGAGAAAATACAAGATTATAGGCACAATATGAAATAAAAATCATCAAAACACAAGAACAATGTAATTTGTAGAGAATGAAGGTTTTATTATAATATAGAGAAAGAATTCAAAGATTTTGTATTTAATTCCACTTTGCTATCATTGTCTGAGGTGCCATCGTGTTCAACTGCTAGGGAAGGACCCATTGAAAATAGGTACGGGAATGCTGATTTGATTACGTATGCTTTTTGTTGTTTTGAAGGTGTTGAGACTAGCAAGGGAGCCTTCAGTTAAAGCATTTGGAGTTGATTTTGTTACAGAGTATGGTTCAACCATGTTTGGTAAATCTTGAATTTCTTGGGGAAATTTTGGGAATCCAGTGTTTGCGTTTGGGTTCACGTATCATTTGTGGGTACTGTGGAAGGGGAAAAGTAATTTTTAGTGAGGTGAAGAAGTTTGGTTCCAGTTGAAGAATGCAATCTATTTTGCTACAGTCAGATTACTTTTCTAGGTGCAAAAATTTTGGAATTTCATTTGTTGCATCAAAATTCATGTCAATGTGGGGATTGTTAAAATTTGGAGGTGACCCGAATTCTTTGATGAAGATAATTGAGAGTTCTAATTAAATTGCATGTTAAGAAGAATTCTATTTGTAATGCTTTTGAAATCCTATTTGAAGTCTATTGGCAAATTTTAG